CAATCATTGACTTCCATCTTTAGGTTCTATTCATCACGAAATTGGTTGGACATGACACACGTAATCGTACGTTAGGGAAACTCATTACATTTGTTTCCCTTAATGTTTGAATTGCAAAAACAAATCAACTTTTTAGTGGTCTTATCGGCGTGGCTTTTTCCTCATTTCATCCTATCCTATAATCATACGAGCCTATGTGTGTTTTTTTCCTCGTTAAATCATTCATGCACCTAACATAGAAAATCATTAGAAGAAGTAAAATGAGCCTTTTATTAATGGTTCTCTCTCTGTCTCGCATTCTGCCAAAAAAGGTGGAACATAGATGATTCTATGTTTTGAGACCCTTTTATAACTTCTTTCTTAAAAAATATTTAATTCTTATTTGATTGAAATTTTATACTGATTTTTTTATTAATTATTTAAGTTTAGCATGGATCGAATATTAGTGAATTGTAAAAATATTATAGTCATAATCAGAAGAAATTTGATAGAAAGCAAGAGCAATAAAGTCACGCTTAGTATTCAACAGAGCCACACTCAACAAGTATGGCAATACTTAAATAAACAATAATCATGCTTAGTATTTAGCATGATAGTGCTTTGCGGAGTAAGATGAGCGTGATATGGATATGCACAATCGTGTTTCACTTTCTCGAGGTTTATTTTTAGCTATTTTCAATTGTTTTGAAAATCCTATTTAAGAAGTAATTAGAGTTTGTGAGAGAGGACTTTTGGAATTTTTTTGGCTGACTTTTAACGAATTTTGGAAGCGTTAGGAGCAAGAAAATCTCGCTTGAACTAAAAAGGAATTTTCACTCAAGTTAAAAATTATTTCTTGAGTTAAAATCTCATAGATTCCAATTTTTGTTTCTCACATTTTCGCTTAAGTGAGAAATTTTTCTTGAGTAAACATTTGTCAAATTCACTTCTTTTCTTTCTTCCTTGTCTTCCTTCCTCCGTAAGTGTAACATCCTTATTTTTTATCTAAAATTTGAAAATAAACTAAAATAAAAAAAAATTAACTATTAATATTATAAACACTTTAAATTAATGGTTACTATAAAATTTCCAGTGCTACAAATTCTAGATTTGACATTAAAACAATTACATAACCTTGTCAATTTAAATTGAAAACTTAATAAAATATTACAAATTTCAAAAAAATTCAAATCCTAAAGAGTAGTCATTCCTCACAATATTACAGGACTATGATCCTAGAACGGATCAACCTTATTTTAATTCTCTTCAATTTCATCTCCTGAAAATAATTAGTATGGGCGAGTACTCTCCAATCCAATAAATCTCTTATTTGATGGACTAATTGAATGATACTAAAAATATTAACTAATATAGTTTTATATATTAATTAATAATAATTCACATATTATACAAATGATTATCACAACAAAACACACTAAATCATTCAATTTGTAATATTCATAAACATATATTTCTACAGTGATCTTATGTCATAATACATGTATTATATCACATCAATTAATATGTTACAATACATGTGTCCTAATCGTAGTTGTCAATGTATTACAACACATATATCATAACAACATAAATTGATATGTTACAACACAAATATTATAATTACACAATTACTATACTATATTACATCCATCACAATTTCACAATCGTTGCCCCTAGAATCTCTTGAGGTATTTCATAGGTATATATAGTTGTTGGATAACCATTGCAACACAGATACAAAGTGTGTCAACCCGTCCCCTTTTCTCAACATTTCTCATAACATTCTTTTCTCAGCATTTCTAATGTCGTTCATTAATATTACATTTTTCTTCCTCATCATTCGATTAAATAAACATGTTTAAGATTTCACGTATACATAAGAAAATACATTTCCTCATCATTCATTTATTTCAATTCATCCTTTTAAAACAAACATCAACTTTCAAACAAAAATTCAAGATCACCATAACATGTCATTTTAATACAAATAATCATCAATCAATTTCACATCATACAGATCAATACAATATGTCAAAGATTGAACACCTTCAGACTCAACCTAGGCATACAATTTAACATACACACTTTCTCTGTCTTTAATAAAATTGTTTATCCTAAAGTTTAGTATTTTTTTTAACACATATCATGCAAAATAATAGTTCAATATTAATTGCACACATATAATGATAGTAAAATCATAAATTCTCTTCAAAAACTTGGTTTGCTTATAACTTTTTGTTTATAGGCAAGTGTACCCATCAAAAAGTAATAAAGGAATTTAGAAAAGAGTTCTCAAGTTATCGTCCCACAGAGATTATTTTCAAGTACCAAGAATAGCTTGATTCAATTGTTTAAACGTAATGGGATTGTAATAGACCAAAACTAGATCTTAATGTTAACAATAAATTAAAAGAACAGTAATACGATGTATGAGAGAGATTAGATGAGATGAGCCTAGGACTTATGGGCTCACCTTCTACAATTCTTTATGTTCTAATTAATTTAATCTTGATATTGGTATTCAAATATTTGCCAACCACTCATAATTAGTTCTATTAACATCCAATGATTATACAATGTCAATATTCTTTTCCCTGAGCAAACACCCCCAATTATCATTCAAGGTAATTGGTCGAGAAAGCATGAAGACACTACGCCAAAAATGAGTTTTTGGAGCGCTAACTTAGACCACTACTAGAAAAGCGCTTAATACAGACAGATTTTACAGACGGATTAAAATCCATCTGTATTACAGACGGATTTGTGAAATAATTTTTTTTTATTTTCTAAAAAATCCGTCTGTAATACAGACGGATTTTAATCCGTCTGTATTTAGCCCGCCTTTTGGCGCCAAACGTTATAGACAGCAATTACAGACAGATTTTTCTGTCTGTAATTTGAAAATAGGACGAAATATTATAGCGGGAAATTACAGACGGATTTTCCCGTCTGTAAATATGGCAGTTTTAGCCGACCTTTCAGGTGGCACATTACAGACGGATTTTTCCATCTGTAAATGGGATTGACGCATTTACAGACGAAAAAATCCGTTTGTAATGTGCCTCCTGAAACGCACCGTTTCATTAAACCCATTACAGACGGATTTTCCCGTCTGTAATGACTGAAACCCATTAAAACCGCGTCTCCTCTTTCCCTCCCCCATTATCAGAACCCTTTCTCTCTCTCGCTCCCCCCTCTCTCTCTCTCTCTAAGAGCTCAGTGTTTTGGCCATTGCGAGTTATTGGAGCAACCATTTGAAAGTTTTTTTGCATCATTGTATTCCTGATACGATACTCTAACTTTTAATCAGTTTAGTTTTTTAATTTTTTATGTTTTTTAGAGACTTAAAATTTCTAAGATAGAGTTGTAGGATTGGAGATTGTATGACTGGGGGGAAGGGCGTAGAGGTCCTTCTCCGAACCTGATTATTGTGTGCTGTGGGATTATTTGTGTTTGTGGAGTTTGTAGAATATGCATGTTGTGGAGTTACAAGGGAATGTGCTCTAGAACGGTTTAGGATTGTGATGTGTTTGTGTTTGATGTATCGAATAATTTATTGTTATATAATTTATTAGTTGATTTTAGGTGAAATTTTTATTTTTGTAAAAAAATAGTAAACAAATGTAAGGAAATTAACATGTATTAGAGGAGATTCTGCCAAAATTTATATTAAAATTTTCTGTAATGTATTTTAGAAGGTTGATACCACATTGTATATTTGTATTAGGTTTATATAGTTCTTGAGGAAGATGTTTCTCAGAAATCGTCAGTGAATGTATGATAGGTTGCACTCAAGTCGGGGGGGAATAAAACCTAAATTCTTTGAGGGTGTAGAGGAATTTATACGCGTCTATTGTAATTCGCAGCAATTCATCACCAATCAGGTCGTTAGGTGTCCATGTTCTAAGTGCAAGTGTAGAAAGTTTTTGGATATTGATTCAATTAGATATGATTTGTATAAGTTTGGATTTAAACATGATTATTGGATATGGACTGAGCATGGGGAAGAAGTTAATTTAGAAAATCAAGTAGGTAATTCAAATATATTACAATCAGGTGGTCATGTAGGTAATGTAAGTTGGGAAGAAAGCAATAGTCATTATCAAGAAATGGTTTATGATGCTGTTGGTCCTGAATTTGGAATTTTTCATGATTTTGAAGCTGAACAAGAACCTAATGGAGAGGCTGCAAAGTTTTATAATGTTTTAGAAGCAGCAAACAAGCCTTTATGGGATGGGTGTGTGCATTTAGAGTTATCTTTAGCAATAAGAATGTTAAGCATAAAGTCAGAAGGCAATCAAAGTCAGAGTTCATTTGATCAATGGGCTACATTAATTAGTGAGCTTAGTCCCGAACCTGACTCCATCCCAAAGGACTTTTACCAAGCCAAAAAATTAGTTTCCAAACTTGGATTAAAAGAAGTCAAAATTGATTGTTGTTTGAAAGGCTGCATGTTGTATTACAAAGATGATGTTGTTTTGACCAATTGCAAATTTTGTGGAGAGCCTAGGTTTAAACCAAGAAGAGGTGGTAGAAGTGGTAAACATAAAGATGTACCGCAAAGTAGAATGCATTATTTGCCTTTGATTCCTAGGCTAAAAAGGTTGTATGCATCTATGAGTTCAGCTCCTTACATGACGTGGCATGCTGAAAATAAAAGGAGTGATGGGATAATGACTCATCCCTCTCATGGTCAGGCTTGGCAACATTTTGATCAAGTGTATCCTGAGTTTGCATCCGATCCTAGAAATGTAAGGTTAGGGTTATGTGCTGATGGGTTCGCTCCAAACAATCAATTTAATAAACCATATTCTTGTTGGCCTATTGTGGTTACACCTTTTAATCTTCCTCCTGAAATGAGCATGAAAAATCTATATTTATTCTTTACTGTAATAATTCCTGGTCCAGAAAATCCAAAGGCTAAAATTGATGTATACCTTCAACCTTTGATTGATGAGTTGAAAGAGTTATGGTGTGAGGGTGTAGTAACTTATGACGTATCAAGGAAGCAAAATTTTATCATGAAGGCAGCACTGATGTGGATGATAAATGATTTTCCTGCTTATGGAATGTTGTCTGGATGGATGACTCAAGGGAAATTAGCATGTCCAATTTGTATGGAGGATACAAAGGCATTTACTTTAAAACATGGAGGAAAAAATTCATGGTTTGATTGCCATAGGAGATTTTTAGATATGGAACATCCTTATAGGCGTCAAGCATACAAATTTAAGAAAGCAACTGTTGAGAATGAGGACCTTCCCGCCCGTTTAAATGGTCATCAAGTATGGGATAGAGTTAAACACTTGCCAAAAATAACAGAAGTAGGAAAATCCATTAGGTTTCCTGGTTATGGGATGACACATAATTGGACCAAACAAAGTATATTCTGGGAGCTCTCATATTGGAAGGATAACTTAGTTCGTCATTGTTTAGATGTGATGCATGTGGAAAAAAATGTATTTGACAATATCATGAATATTGTAATGGACACTGATCAAACTAAAGATAATGTCAAGGCAAGGCAAGATTTAGAAGAATATTGTAGGCGTCATGAATTGAGGTTACAACAACTTGCAGATGGTCGATGGTCAAAGCCAAAGGCAAGTTACACTCTGACTTTACCACAAAGACAAGATGTGTGTAAGTGGGTGAAGGAGTTAAAAATGCCTGACAATTACGCATCAAACCTCAGTCGTTGTGTGAATGTTGAACAAGGAAGATTTTTTGGGATGAAAAGTCATGATTGCCACATATTCATGGAGTGTCTTCTACCTGCTGCATTTAGGGAACTACCAGACCATGTTTGGAAGCCATTGACTGAGTTAAGTGAGTACTTTAGGGACCTGTGTTCACCTACTCTAAGGGTTGAAGATCTATTAGTTATGGAGAAAAATATTCCTGTCATTTTGTGCAAATTAGAGAGAATACTTCCCCCTGGTTTCTTTGACTCCATGGAGCACTTGCCTATACACTTAGCGTATGAAGCACGTGTTTGTGGACCAGTACAATACAGGTGGATGTATCCGTTTGAACGAGAAATTGGAGGGTTCAAAAGGACTGTGAAAAATAGAGCTCAAGTGGAAGGATCCATATGCCAGGCATATATATCAAGGGAGACATCAAATTTTTGCACATACTATTTTGAACCTCATGTTCAATCTAGGAGAACTCGGGTTGGTCGAAATGATGATAGGGGAGAAAGTAGTAATGAGCCAAGTCTATCTATATTCAACCAACCAGGTCGTGTATCTGGAAAATGTGAAGAACGATGGATCTTAGGTGATGAATCAGAGGCCGCCCACTTGCACATCTTATTAAATTGTGATGAAGTTCAACCATTCAGAACGTAAGTGACTTATGATTGCTTTAATGATTTTTTCTGATCATGGTCATTCAAATCTAGTTAATGATGTTGCAATGTTTACAGATATTTTGAACAATTATATGGTCACGAATCCCTTAATCAATTTCCATCATGGTTCAAAAGTTATGTAAGTCATGACATTTCCCTAACATGTTAGTTAATCGACTTTTTAATATTATTCTGTATTCAATCAATTGACATCGATTTATGGTATGTGTAGGTGCGTGATCCTATTAATGGTATCACAGATCCTGACCTATATAACTTGTCCAGAGGTCCAAAAAATAAAGCATATTGTTGGCCAATTTACTTTGTTAATGGGTATAAATTTCAAACTATTGAATCATGTCAAGGGAGAAAAACAGATAATAGTGGAGTTAGTGTAAGAGAAAATTCAAGTGATGGTGACTGTGATTGGTATGGAAAACTTCATGAAATTGTTGAGCTTGAATATGCTGGTGAAACCATAAAAAGGATTGTCTTATTCAAGTGTGAATGGTTTGATCCAACACGTCCAACAGGTACACGTAAACATAACCATTACAATATAATTGAGATTAACCATACCAAAAGATATAGAGGCTTTGACCCCTTCATCATTGCACAAAATGCGAGACAAGTATATTTCTTATCTTACCCTGGAAAATGTAATAAAAGTTGGAGGATTGTAATTAAAACTAAACCAAGGGGTCGAATTGAAAGTGATGAAGTAGATGATGAAGATGCATATCAAATTGATGACTCAATTCCTTCACGTGTAGTAATAGACACTGTTGTCCCTCCAATTTTATCTTCTCCTTTGAATGAAATTGAAATAATTGACCCTCCTACCCAAGTTATGAGATATAATGAAATGGATGACATCATAGAAGACGAGGATGAAGGAATTATGGATGAACGTTCATCGAATGATGATGAAGGTAGTCTTGAACTATCAGAGTAAATGAGGTAAAGTAAGTAGGTTTGTCAATTTACTATGTTGCCATGATTATTTAATTTGAGTTATCACCAATATTATTCATATTTTAAACAAATTATAGTATTTGTCTCTAAACATATATATGGTTTGATTCAGATATGGCAGGTAAAGGTAAAGGTAAGAAGGGTATTACTCAGCAAACTGATCGTGGCAACACTTCTTCACCTACCGCTCCGACTTCGACGTCCACACCAGCAACAGTGCAGACCTCCCAGGTTAGGGGACAGGAGCAATTTATCATGGTGCCGAATCCTGGGTATATTGCTCCTCCCCCTCCAGTACAGCGAGTTTCACACTCTGCACCCCATACTACACAGGCCACACAGTCACCTGCTACACAGGGCACAGGAGATGGATCCACTGTTGTCCCATCTGTAAGCGGGCAGCAGTCATCACAGACCCAGGCATCATCGAGATCGTTAGAAACTTTGAGATGGGATGGGTCCACTTGGTAAGTAATTCAATCAAATATGCCTAACATTGCGTATTTTATGTGAATGTTAGTAGTTATGTTTTATTTTATTGTGTTATCAGTTGGATACCACCACAGAAAGGTCTCCATCAGGTCACAGATACGATTAAGAAGATGTTTGATGCGCCTTACAGAAGTTTTGCAAAGGTGCCAAATGATACAAAGATAGAATGGTTCAAAGATTGGAAGGTAATAATAGTGTATTAATTTTAACTAAGTGTAATTACATATGACTGTTTGTACCTCTTCTAATGAAATTGTGTTTCTGTAGAGCAACTTCTCCATTCCTCCCCAGGACGAAAAGATGATTTTCAAGGCCTGGAAGAGTCGCACTGCAAAGCGACTAAGACAGATGTACACTGAGGCTTGCCAGGACCCTTCTACTGCTGATTGGATAGCACCCAACTTTCTTCATGCCTTGCAGGAGTATTGGGGTACAGATGAGTTTAAAAATCTCTCTGTAAAGAACAAGACAAACAGGGCATCTAATAAAGGGGGGTCACTGCATACTGGTGGGTCTACGACTTTGGCTGGCAGTAAGGCAAACTTGGTATGTGATTTTAAAATTCAGTTTACTCTATCTATAATTTCATATTTGAGATTGTGATTTATTTCTAATTGCAGGAGAAGTCGTTGAAGAGGCCACCTACTACTGGAGAGTTGTTTAAAGAGACACACACTCGCAGGCAGGACAAAAACCTGTGGGTTGATACACGATCTCAGGCCACATATGTAAGTCATAGTTATTGATAATATATGTGATTATTAGCGACTTATTAAATAGTTCTCCAAACTAATATCTAATTATCTGAACTGAACTGTAGGATGACTATATTCAAAGGCTTGAGGAAGCATCTTCTCAGAATCCAGAGTCAGTAGATGAGGATGCTATGTGGTCACAGACAGTGGGTGGCCTTTATAAAGGTCGCATTTATGGCATGGGGGGCCGCTTTGCAGACTCCATGTCCCCTGCATCTGTCACTGGAGATGCCCATTCTCTTGCACCTGAGGATGTGGAGGACATGGTTCGTACTCAGGTCCATGCCCTCAATGAAGAACTCCAGAAGCAGAATGAGGAGATGTGGAAGAGCAAAGAAAGTGCATGGAAGAAGAAGTGGGCAAAGAAAATGGAGAAGAAGATAGAGAAGAAGGTGGCGTCGAGAATGCAAAGGGAGGTCCAGTAGCAGATGACGCAGCAGCATATGCAAATGCAGCAGATGCATGCTTATTTTGTGCTCATGAGAGCAAGCAGCTCCACACCTCTTCCTCCTCCTCCACCAGCTCCAGCACCACCGGTTTTCACCTCCATGCATCATTCCTCTACTGACTCCTCTTCTACTGATGATGATGCTCCTTCGGATTCTGACCATATAGATTATTCCTGATGAAGACTTGTATTTTATTTTTAAATGTATTTATTTAGATGCTTTTTTTTCTTCCTTTGTAACAACATTTAAATTTTATATTTTATAAATCATTTTGGAATGTTTAGATGCCGAATCTATAGTTTCTATTTTGTTTATAAATTGTGATAATCAAGAACAGCAGGAAATAACTATCTATACAAATAAAAAAATATCAATTATAGTAAAATATATCACCGACGGATTACAGACGGATTTTTCTGTCTGTAATTTATAGACGGATTTTTTCGTCTGTGACTTACAAACGGATTTTCCCGTCTGTGATTTACAGACGGATTTTACCGTCTATAACTTATAGACGGATTCTACCGTCTGTAACTTACAGACAGATTTTTCCGTCTGTAACTTACAGACGGATTTGAAAATCTGTCTGTAATTATTTACCGACAAGGATATTACAGACGGTTTATATCCATCTGTAAATCCGTCTGTAATAGAAAAAATCGTCTGTAATGCTCTAAAAATCCGTCTGTAAATCCGTCTGTATAAACAGACTTTTTAGTAGTGGACAGCGGTTAGTAAAAATCGCTTTATACTTATATATTTAGAGAGAGGTTCTCTATTAACTGCTCTCAGATTTATACTTTTGAGAGTGGTTCTCTATTAACTGCTCTCTAAAGTCATTAAAGTTGTTTATAAATGAAACACGCTCAACGCATTTCTTCTTCTTAGCTAACAAAGTTTGTCTCTTTTACTGTAAGTTTTGTTCGTCTTCTTTGCTCTCTTATGTTCTCTTCATATTTTTCTGTTAACCTGCTCTCTTCATCTTTACTCACTAACAAATTGGTTTGTTTTTACATCTATAGGTACCTCTTTATTCTCTGTTAGTCTGCTCTCTTCATCTTCTCTGCGCTAACAATTAGTTTTTTTAATATCTGTAGGTACCTCTTCATTCTTTGTTAGCCTGCTTTCTTCATATTTTCTACGCTAACAAATTGGTTTTTTTTCACATCTGTAGGTACTTCTTCATTCTCTCTTTCTTTTTTCTTCTCTTTGTTAACAGTGAATCATCCATTCTCTCTTTCTTTCTTTCTTTTTTCTCTATTAACGTTAAAAATCATCCTACTAATTTGTTCCTTTTTGTTCTGTTTGGTTCATGCAGATGTGGACTGATTGGTTAACACCAAACATATAAACTCAAGATTCAAGTTTACTTTGTGATAAAAATGAAGAAAACTCACAAAGAAATCAATTCCAAATTTTGATTTAAACGTAATAATAAATTAATTTTACTTTGCAGCAAAAAACTAAAAAAGAAACCAATTTCAAATTTCAGATTTTGGTCTATATTTATACTTTAGAGAGCGGTTCTACATATCGCTCTCTAATCTTACACCTAGCAAAGCAAGCTGCACGTGATCACTTTTGTTTAGAAAAGTAATCATTCCAGAGAAGCCTCTAGCAAAGCAAGCTGCGCGTTATCACTTTTGTTTATAAAAGTGATCATTCCAGAGAGCCCTCTAGCAGAGCAAGCTGCACGTGACTCCTATTGTTCACAAAAGTGAACATGCGCAGACCACAAACCTCTGCGTTGCTACTTTTATGAAAAATAGTGATCACGTTAGAAATGCAAAAAATTCTATAAATAAGAGATTAGCCCAAAAACTTGGGATCTTTTTCTCATTTTTGATTTTCACACCTTAGAATAGTTAGAGAGGGAAATTGTTGGCTAGAGATTGGATTTATGAAGAAATTTTGCAGCTCCTCTTCTTCTACTCTTTCTCTCTCTTTTCTTCTATGAACATATTTTGATTTCTTTTTGTTATGGATTGATGGATCTGATTTTGATATTATAAATTAATTGTGGATCTGGATTTTAAGATCTTGATTGTATTGAACGTTTAATTCTTTCCTTAATGCAATTCTTGAATTAGCTATTCAATTGAATTGAACCTAGAAGATTTTCATCAATGGAAGTTGAGTTAATTTCTCATATCTGAATTGAATGTCAAGGTTATGGATATTATAGGGATAAAAATTCATGATCTTGTGATCTCTTAATTTCCAATCCTAATTCAATGTTTGATTGATTTACACTTAAGGAATTAGGGTAGTTAATTGAATATTAGGATCAATGAGTCAAGGAATTAAACTTTGATTAATCTAGTGAAATTGATCATCAATCAATTAAAGAACTTAGAGTTTAGATCTACTTCCATTTTGCAAATGATGAAGAGGTGAAATCAGTCCTAACTCCATTCATATTTCAGTTCATTTCTATATTCGTCACTCTATTTTACTGTTATTTTCTGATTTCTATAGTTTATTGCTTTTGTTCTTAAATGATTCAAAACACTCCAAATTTTGTTTAGCTCAACTAGTTATTAATTTGTGAAGTGGTAATTGATAGAACTAATCTCTGAGGACGGTACTTGGAACTCAAACTGAATTCCAAATTTTATTACTTGCTATAACTACCTAGTACACTTGCTAGTTAGTTTTCTCTTAACTTAGTGACAATATAATTGGAAGGTGGAAAGTGTAAAACCCCTATTTTTATTATTTATTAGTTTTGTATTTGGTATGAGTTGTTAATGCATGTTGCTTAAGATTAAGAGAGTTTTAGATGTTTAAGTTGCAGGATTTTTCGCTGATGCGAGATGTGTTTTGCTGTAGCGAGAAATTAGTGTCCAAAATTAGGCATTCTGATGTTCTCTCGTTGTAGCGAGAAGCTCTTGTTGTAGCTAAAATGACAAATAGCAAAGTGCAATTTTGTCTGATTTTTTCGATGTAGCGAGGGGAGGTCTCGCTGTAACGAGCCAATCCTTGCTACATCGAGAATATTATGAGTTGAGAGGTATTTAAGAGTTTCCAGGTTAAGAAACTTGGATTATAATCAAAGTTACAACCCTCATACATTCTCTTTGACTTCTCTGCTCATTTTCTTAACAAATCTTTAAAAAAACCTCAACTTTTCTCTGATCAAAGTTTAAAAGATCACTTCCCTTGTTCTTTGGTAAGTTTTGGAGCTTTGTTCTCTATTTCTTTGGTTAAATTTTTTTCTCTTCCTCCTCTAAAGAGAAACTCTTGTGATATTTAGGAAGAACTCAGCCTTTTCAGCAAGATCCTTAGAAAACCCTTTACTAAACTTTCATTTTAAGGTAGGGAGAGCTCCATTTTGTTACTAAGAAAGTGGTATGCTTGTATTCATGAAGATTTTGTGATGAAATTTATGATTTTAAGTATATGTTGGATGAAAACATGTTTTTGTTATATTTGAAGCTTGTTTTGTGATGTTTGATGATGTGTATGATTTTTATTTTGACTATATATGCATGTACATGGTGGACTGAGTCCGAAAGGACTAACTCTTGGCAATGAATAATATGTTAATAAATAGATAGTGAGAAATATAGAAATGAGATAGGAAAAATTGAAAGAGAAATTAAATAAGAATGGAATATGATAAGGATGAGTATGGATAGTTCAGAGGTACACTAGGAGTGTAGAAGATGAAGACGACTAAGAAGTCTTGGAGAGATGAGGGTGGTGAATGCTCCTCTTGAATTGCGCAAAACAAATAAGAGTAGGAGCACTGTAGGCCTCACACTCATTTCCT